AGTTCTAGTTCAGTTCTAGTTCAGTTCTAGTTCAGTTCTAGTTCAGTTCTAGTTCAGTTCTAGTTCAGTTCTAGTTCAGTTCTAGTTCAGTTCTAGTTCAGTTCTAGTTCAGTTCTAGTTCAGTTCTAGTTCAGTTCTAGTTCAGTTCTAGTTCAGTTCTAGTTCAGTTCTAGTTCAGTTCTAGTTCAGTTCTAGTTCAGTTCTAGTTCAGTTCTAGTTCAGTTCTAGTTCAGTTCTAGTTCAGTTCTAGTTCAGTTCTAGTTCAGTTCTAGTTCAGTTCTAGTTCAGTTCTAGTTCAGTTCTAGTTCAGTTCTAGTTCAGTTCTAGTTCAGTTCTAGTTCAGTTCTAGTTCAGTTCTAGTTCAGTTCTAGTTCAGTTCTAGTTCAGTTCTAGTTCAGTTCTAGTTCAGTTCTAGTTCAGTTCTAGTTCAGTTCTAGTCAGTTCTAGTTCAGTTCTAGTAGTTCAGTTCTAGTTCAGTTCTAGTTCAGTTCTAGTTCAGTTCTAGTTCAGTAGTTCAGTAGTTCAGTTCTAGTTCAGTTCTAGTTCAGTTCTAGTTTAGTTCTAGTTTAGTTCTAGTTCAGTTCTAGCTCAGTTTTAGTTCAGTTCTACTTCAACTCTAGTTTGGTTCTGGTTGCCAAAAGGAAACATTTTTTAATTTCTATGACGTTGGTATTTTTCTTTAATTTTTGCATGTATTTTAAGGTCAAGGGGGGGTCATTAGATTTTGAGGGATTTGTAGCAAAAGTCTATGACTTTTATTAAATATCCCACTGGTTATCAGATTTTCATGTCTATTAAAATAACAAATGTTTTCACAAAGTTTTAACTAAGCGTATGATTAATATTAATATCAAAACCATCAGAGCGTATGAGTGTTTTTAATATAATAAATTGTGATTAATTGTAGAATTAATCAAGAATTTAAGTTCTTTTGACCCTAAAATTTAAAATTTTTTTATAAGACCGTTCCAAACAAATTAAATACATATAAATTTAAAAAAAAAATCTTTATAAACTTTTATAAAACTTTAAAGCAATTTTAATATTATTAAAATATTATGCAGCATCATTTAATTGACATTAAATGAAATGGAAACTTATATAGATTTTTTTTCCTTTTAATGAAATGGGAAAATATAATAACAAAAAATATAAAAAACTTTTCCTGCATAAAAATGGTGATGATGATGGTGTACCAAAATGATGACTATACCCATCATTAAACACACCTTGATTGAATGAAACAATTTTTAAACAAAAAATCTCTAAAAAATAAAAATTTTCTACTAATGAGAAAATAAAAAAAAACTTGAAAAATTATGTTACCCTGCCCTACAAAATTTCTCAAATAAATTTCTCAAATAAGAAACAATGAAAAATAAAATGAGAAGAAAAAAACGGAAATAAAACAAAAACTACAAAGGAAGTGTATAAATTGTTTCATATAAAAAATCCAAAAAGGAAAGAAGAAAAATAAAATTCATTCATTGAATGTGAATCTATCTGTAAGAACAACAAGGTTGAGTTTGGCGCTTAAAAAATCCAACAAAAAGAAAACAGCTACAATGCACAGCGTGTCGAAAAAACAACAATGGCAGCATAAAACTTAAAAAGCAATAAAAGTAATTAAAAAAGTTTTTTTTTACTTCACACTTACACAATAAAAAATACAAACGAATAAAACACAGCAAAAATCTATACAAACAATAAACAAGAAAATTGTGCACCAAAAATTAGTTCAAAGTCATGACCCAGGAAAGAGGTTTGAAAATGTAAAGCTTTAAATACGAAATATTTTAAATGAAGGGATATTTAAAAAAGAGAGCAACTACTGCCTTTAAAATTAAAGGCAGAAAACAGAAGTCATGGTTACATGGCAAAATTATAAATGAAATATTTATTTCATTGTTAAATTTAAAAGGCGAATGTACAATAAACACGCCATAAACATGCAAAACTTTCTCATAATTGTTGATATAAAGAAAAAAACTTCATAGAACAGTAATATGGAACAAAAATATGGAACCGAATTAGCACTGAACTAGAATTGAAATAAAACAGAAGTGAACTAGACCAGAACTGAAGTAAAACTAAACTAGAACTGAAGAAGATCTGAAGAGAAACTGAACTAGTACTGACCTAGAACAAACTAAAACTGAACTAGAACTGAACTAGATCTGAACTAGAACTGAACTAGAACTCAACTAAAACTGAACTAGAACTGAACTAGAACTGAACTAGAACTGAACTAGAACTGAACTAGAACTGAACTAGAACTGAACTAGAACTGAACTAGAACTGAACTAGAACTGAACTAGAACTGAACTAGAACTGAACTAGAACTGAACTAGAACTGAACTAGAACTGAACTAGAACCGAACTAGAACCGAACTAGAACTGAACTAGAACTGAACTAGAACTGAACTAGAACTGAACTAGAACTGAACTAGAATTGAACATGAATTTGGCTAACAATAGCTATTTCCCCTTAAATATTATTTTTAATTACATATTACTGAACTAGGACTGAACCAGATCTGAACTAGAACTGAACTAGAATTGAACTAGAACTGAACTAGAACTGAACTAGAACTGAACTAGAATTGAACTAGAACTGAACTAGAACTTAACTAGAACTGAACTAGAACTGAACTAGAACTGAACTAGAACTGAACTAGAACTGAACTAGAACTGAACTAGAACTGAACTGAACTAGAACTGAACTAGAACTGAACTAGAACTGAACTAGAACTGAACTAGAACTGAACTAGAACTGAACTAGAACTGAACTAGAACTGAACTAGAACTGAACTAGAACTGAACTAGAACTGAACTAGAACTGAACTAGAACTGAACTAGAACTGAACTAGAACTGAACTAGAACTGAACTAGAACTGAACTAGAACTGAACTAGAACTGAACTAGAACTGAACTAGAACTGAACTAGAACTGAACTAGAACTGAACTAGAACTGAACTAGAACTGAACTAGAACTGAACTAGAACTGAACTAGAACTGAACTAGAACTGAACTAGAACTGAACTAGAACTGAACTAGAACTGAACTAGAACTGAACTAGAACTGAACTAGAACTGAACTAGAACTGAACTAGAACTGAACTAGAACTGAACTAGAACTGAACTAGAACTGAACTAGAACTGAACTATAACTGAACTATAACTGAACTACTGACATAACTGAACTAGAACTGAACTATAACTGAACTACTGAACTACTGAACTAGAACTTAATTAGAACTTAATTAGAACTGAACTAGAACTGAACATGAATTTGGCTAACAATAGCTATTTCCCCTTAAATATTATTTTAAATTACATATTACTTTACTTTTCTTTTCCATTTTTCTGTTTTAATTCTATTGAAGCTTCGATGAAAGTGAAATTTTGCTAATTCCTTTCTTCACTCTTTTCGATTTCTACCAAATTTTCAGTCATATATTTTATTGCATTTTTAGTCTTCATATTCAAGTAATAATATCCTTTTAAAAACTTCTCAACAAAAGATCAATACCAAAGCTAGCTTTTTCTTCTTAACTCATATGTTTTATATTTTCCACATTCATGTCAGGCAAAAGAAATAATAAAAAACTTTGCCTTGACCTGTATCTGCAATTTGGAGTAAAAACAAAAATATATAGAAAAATACTTGAAAAAACACAAATTCTCATGAGCACTTACAGAAAATTAGAAAAAAACAGAAACCCACAAAACATCATAAAAAAAAACACTTTTTCTCAGTTTGCAAAAAAGCCTGAGTATTATTACATTTTTTTTCACCCAAAAAAACATATAAATGGAAGAACACAAGGTATGAATTTGAGCATAAACAATTTAATTCTATTTGATACTAGGGGTTCTTGCGGCAAAAAAATGGATCTCTGAAAAAAGAAATAAACTTTTTGCAGGTCAACCAACCAACAGCAACGAGAAAATTTATGTTAAGAGTCATTTTCAAGCATGACCATAAGAGATGAAATTCATTTTTTTATGTGAATTTTCTATTAAAAGTTATAAACACAAGTGTAGTTTATAGTTTAGAAGTCGTTCAAGTATTCATTTAAAAAATACCAACAAAAAAACCCACACATATACTTTCAGTATTGACAAAAAATATCTTTAAACCAGGAAAACAAAGCAAAAACAATTATTTGAATCTATATGTTTCATACAAATTTATTGGTTTACAAGTTCTCTGGCTTTCAATTTTAACTTTTGTTTCTTCTTGAACAAAAAAAAAAAAAAAAAACTACAAAATTTAATAATTAAAAATAGTTTTAATGTCTTTTTAAATATTTTAAAGTTTAGCAAGAAAATATAAAACTTCATAAAAATTCTATAAATAAATAAAATTTTTATAATTCGTAAACATGAAAATTTTCTGTTTTGTTGCAAACAACTATGCAACATATCCCAGCTAGCATTTTCTTTCAAAAAAGGATCTTCCGCGATTGGAGGTGGCGACTAAATTAATCTTCCACGATATCGTATTCCAATTACGAAAGTTCAACGCAACGGGAGTAACTGTGTCACAGCCGCGACTCTTCTCTATGAATCGTCTACGATGTGTTAAAAAGAGTCTTGACACAATCGTCTTAATGAATCTTCTACGATGCGATAAACAGAATCTTTACACAATCGTCTTAATGAATCTTCTACGATGCGATAAACAGAATCTTTACAAAATCGTCTTAATGAATCTTCTACGATGCGATAAAAAGAATTATAGAAGAGTCTTGGAACGATCGTAAAGAAGATTTTAATTGATCCTAAAATGCCTAAAAATATGCTAAAAATAAAAAGTATTGATATTCGTTTTATACTGTTTATTGCATTGGCATTTTTTGTCAACTTTAAATAAAAAAAATAAAATTAAATATAAATTTGAATTCAATTATGAAAATAAATACATACATATGAATAATGGAAATAATTATGCATTAGAAAAATTATTAAAAAATAAAGTTATTTTTCAGCCAAATCGTCAATTTTCTTGGCTTCATCAATCTTTTTGGTTCGGTCACTCTTTCTGAGACGGTCACCAGCATGAACAAAATGTTGTTGTAATACCTTATTTATACCTGCATCATCAGCTTTCGGAAATTTTGAATGGCACCTTTAAAAAGAAAATAATTAGAATTCAGTAAAATCATGTTATAAAAAATACTTACTTGTTATAATTTTCGTTATATTGAATTCCTGAATACTGGGCTTACTGTTCGTTCCACGCCAACTCAATTTTGCAGCCACATCATCGCTCAGCATTTTTTTAATTGCATTCCTGACAAACGAGTTGGAGCTGTCGCCACCCACTTTACCAATAACGTATTTCTGTAAAAATTTTGATATGAATATATGTATATATGTATGTTTATATTAAAAAATATGTATATAGACGGATAATTATATACATACCAATTGAGCTACAATATCCACGTTCTCTTCTATTTGTTTATGTAATTCTTCCAACTGTTTTACAGTTTTTATGGGTAAAGGTGGCACTAAATTGGTTTTAATTTCCTCAGAATAAATTAATTTTAACTGACGCACTTCATTTCTTACGGTTATCACTTCCTCTGTTAGTCTGCCGATTTGCTGTTTTAGCGTGCGCACTTCTCCTAAAATCTCCGTCAACATATTTTGTTTACTATCTGAAAGAATTAATGTAATATAAAGTATAATGAATGAAATTATGACATTTATAATGTTCTTATACCTGTCTGATTATCTGGCGGTTTGTTTTGTATTTGTTGCAATTCACTTCTTCTATATATTCAACTGGAAAATTATCGCAAACGGATGATGTTTCAGTGAAATCCGATTCAACCAATTTTTCGAAAGAACTGACTTTCATTGGGACATCATCGCAATCAGATGTTTCCCTGCCTTTAACTTGTTTTTTTGGATGATCCATCCCACTTTATTATAAGCAGACTCCATCATTTTTTTGCTTCTCGTTTGCTTTTTAATCTTATTGCTTTATTTGATAGCATTATAAATTATTTTATATTATAAATTTAATTTTTGATTTCTAATAAAACACTTTTTAGTTAATACACTTAGTATTTATAAGAAACTTTATTAAAAATTAAATTTTTAATTTAATAAACTTCAAAAACCACTTTTTATTCTTACTTGTCTCGACACTGATTATAAACTGAGTTGAAAAGAAGACAAAATAATTTGTTTTTGCTAAACGTTTATACGTATAACGGTAAAATTCGCCCAACTATCTCCAGAATCCGTAATCGGCGATTGTTGCGTAATATAAATAAACCGGTTTGACAATAATATATGCATCATTTGGAAGAGTAAAATATGATCGTTGACTAACAACAATCCTCCGATGATCGCTAAAATACATAAGCGACGATTAATTCGTTCAACAATCGCCAAAATTACTCGCAAAAGCATCTTTTGGTACATTAAAATATATATTTTTTTAAATAATCGTCAGGACGATTATAAAACGAGTCACAAAATGAAACAATCGTCTGGAAGATTGAAAAAAGATTCACAAAATGAGGACAATCGTGTGGACGATTAAAAAAATAGTCGCAAAATCATCGCGCTCGCCAATGAATCATGTAAATGCTAGCTGGGATGTTATGTTTGTATGTGTATATGTACATAAACTTGTGATTGCATGTGTATATCTATGTATGCAATTATTGTTTTTGTTTGTGTTTAAATCGACTCGTGTAGGAGTTTGTTTTTAACACATACTAACATTAGATTACAAAACATGTTTCAATTGCCTGACTAGTCAGGCAATTGAAACAATTGAAACATTGAAACAAGCTTGTTCACAAACATATACGGAGAACATGTGAAACTGTGTTAGTTTTTTTTTGTATGTATGTATGTGTGTTTTCATGTTAAACATTTTTTACATCCTATATTTTCGAAGTTGTTATAAGTTAATTTTTTTATTTGTTGTTTTTTAAGGCAATTGATGAAAAAATATGTAAAATATTAAAAAAAGTAAAAATACAATTAATTAAACCATTTTTAAAACAAAACTGAGTTAATGCTTATAGTCTAGTCATAGTCTAGTCATAGTCTAGTCATAGTCTAGTCATAGTCTAGTCATAGTCTAGTCATAGTCTAGTCATAGTCTAGTCATAGTCTAGTCATAGTCTAGTCATAGTCTAGTCATAGTCTAGTCATAGTCTAGTCATAGTCTAGTCATAGTCTAGTCATAGTCTAGTCATAGTCTAGTCATAGTCTAGTCATAGTCTAGTCATAGTCTAGTCATAGTCTAGTCATAGTCTAGTCATAGTCTAGTCATAGTCTAGTCATAGTCTAGTCATAGTCTAGTCATAGTCTAGTCATAGTCTAGTCATAGTCTAGTCATAGTCTAGTCATAGTCTAGTCATAGTCTAGTCATAGTCTAGTCATAGTCTAGTCATAGTCTAGTCATAGTCTAGTCATAGTCTAGTCATAGTCTAGTCATAGTCTAGTCATAGTCTAGTCATAGTCTAGTCATAGTCTAGTCATAGTCTAGTCATAGTCTAGTCATAGTCTAGTCTAGTCTAGTCATAGTCTAGTCATAGTCTAGTCATAGTCTAGTCATAGTCTAGTCATAGTCTAGTCATAGTCTAGTCATAGTCTAGTCATAGTCTAGTCATAGTCTAGTCATAGTCTGTCATAGTCTAGTAGTCCATAGTCTAGTCATAGTCATAGTCTAGTCATAGTCTAGTCATCGTATATTAATAGTATTGTCTATAGTGTAGTCTATAATATAGTCTATAGTCTAGTATATATGCTAGTCTATAGTCTAGTCTATAGGCTGGTCTATAGTCTAGTCTATAACCTTGTCTGTAGTCGAGTACATATAGCCTTGTCTATAGCCTATTCTATAGCCTAGTCTATAGTCTATCCTATAGTCTAGTCTATAGGCTGGTCTATAGTCTATTCAAAGTCCACTAATAGTCTAGTCATAGTAATTATACTAAAATCTTTATTCGATAAAAGTTATACGCCGGAGTCAGATTTAAATGTATTTTTAAATTTATTTATTGAACATGATAGCTTTACCATGTGGTTAATATTCATGTCATCTATCTTGCATAAAAAAATATATAAAATTTTTTCAAAATACTTTTATGAACGTATCACTTACAATTTCTATGATAAAATTGCATTTGATTAGATTGTTTTTTTTATACCAGTTAATTGGATTTTATATAAGTTTTTTTCTCCGCTCAGTTAAATTATTAAAAAGTGACTGAAACATATAAATATTTAACCAAAAATGTTCACATTTCTTAAACTAATTATGGGAAACATTTAAACATTAAAGTGAAAATGTTAAAAAAAATATTTAATAAATTTTTTTCTGCGAAATTAAGCAAAAAAAAAAAATGTTTTAACACTTTTGTGGTTTGTCGTTATTTTAAACGGAAAAAATTTAATAGTTTTAATTGCTTTTTAGTTTGCTGGGAAATTAGGTCAAATGCTACTGATAATAATATTTAAAAAAGTTTAACTTATGACTTTAAGGCATTATTTATAGAAACTTGTATTCAAATTTTAAAAACTAGAATTATTATTTTGAATTTATTTTACATGGTTGGTTAACAATGGATCAGGTTCAAAATAGTTGTTTCAGTAGCACCACAAGACTACCGACAAAACTATGACTATACTACAACACAATTATGATCTGAACCATGGCTTCTAATATAACGATTTTATAAAAATATGCACAATTTTAAATTTTTTTTTCATTTCCCATAAAACGTCAGTTTATTTTCATTAAAACCACACAAAATTTAAAGCCTTGAACAAAGACAAAATATAATATAAAACAAGCATGGAGAGTCAAGTTTAAAATATACTAGACAATGTTAAATGTAAATTGCAAGTTATTTAAAACTAACACATCCATGAGTTCAAACATTTTTTAAATACACGAATGTTTAAGTAAAATATTTGCATGAACATAATCATAAAAATTACAAAACAGTAGAATAAAATTAACATGAATTTGATTTGTATATGAATATTTTTCAGAATTGAAGATCATGACAAATAAATTAAATTCCTCGGTATTTTTTTTTTAAATTTTCAAAATATATTTTTCGATATTTATTAAGAAATTTTAAAGCTTCTATTATGTTATGATCCCACTGTCACTCTCGCCTTAATTTACTTCTACGCGGCAGCAATCATTAATTGTGCACACACAGCTGAGAACAGTAGAGCCTTGAAGTAGGCTATGAAAATACTGGAAAAAATCTATAGTTAGTAAACAATGTCTATGTAAGTGTTTTTCATAGGGTAGTTATATTTAGATGTAAATAAATATACTTATAAATTTATTAGTTTTACATGGTTTACATGTAGTTAAAAGTAAATATTTAAATCTACCAACTTTACTATAGACTACTTGTTAAATAAAATTGTTTGCGTGTGTTTACATAAGTATGTATATTTAATATTAGTTTTTTTTTAATTATCAAACTATAATTAATGTCTATGGCCTCCGGTAGGTTAGTGGTTAGTGTTCTAGTCTGGTAGACCGGAGGTGGTGGGTTCGATTCCCACCTGAGGCACTGGTTAAGGAGCGCACAACAGGCCCGATAGAGGCCTAAGTGTATTTCTTCGGATTTGATGTATATTCATCCTCCTTTCAAACTAACTAACTAACTAACTAAATAAAACTTTGTTAAAAGTAAACAGCATTTTAAAAGGAAACCTAATCAACTAATTATGTTGTCTAGTTCTCTAGATATCTGTGTAAAGATTGTTAAATTGTTATGAATATAAAGTAATTAAATAAACAACCTTAAGGAGAGTCTAAATAAATTATTATTCAATTGAAAGGGTTCTTTTACTGTTAAATGAAAACCCAATTAACAATTCAATTAGATTTTAAAAGAAAAATAAGACTATAGAGTAGACTATAGAACAGACTATAGATAAGACTATAGACTAGACTATAGGCTAGATTATAGACTACACTGCAGACTAACCTATAGACTAGTCATATATAGACTAGACTATAGACTAGACTATAGAGTAGACTATAGACTAGACTATAGACTAGACTATAGACCATATACGTCAAATAACTAGACTAGACTATAGACTAGACTATAGACTAGACTATAGACTAGACTATAGACTAGACTATAAACTAGACTATATACTAGACTATAGACGACTATAGACTAGACTATAGACTAGACTATAGACTAGACTATAGACTAGACTATAGACTAGACTATAGACTAGACTATAGACTAGACTATAGACTAGACTATAGACTAGACTATAGACTAGACTATAGACTAGACTATAGACTAGACTATAGACTAGACTATAGACTAGACTATAGACTAGACTATAGACTAGACTATAGACTAGACTATAGACTAGACTATAGACTATAGACTAGACTATAGACTAGACTATAGACTAGACTATAGACTAGACTATAGACTAGACTATAGACTAGACTATAGACTAGACTATAGACTAGACTATAGACTAGACTATAGACTAGACTATAGACTAGACTATAGACTAGACTATAGACTAGACTATAGACTAGACTATAGACTAGACTATAGACTAGACTATAGACTAGACTATAGACTAGACTATAGACTAGACTATAGACTAGAACTATAGACTAGACTATAGACTAGACTATAGACTAGACTATAGACTAGACTATAGACTAGACTATAGACTAGACTATAGACTAGACTATAGACTAGACTAAGACTAGACTATAGACTAGACTATAGACTAGACTATAGACTAGACTATAGACTAGACTATAGACTAGACTATAGACTAGACTATAGACTAGACTATAGACTAGACTATAGACTAGACTATAGACTAGACTATAGACTAGACTATAGACTAGACTATAGACTAGACTATAGAC